TTCCTAGTTTTTTAAAAAACTAGGAGAAAACTAGGAAGCAACAGCACAAAAAACTAGGAGAAAACTAGGCAGGCTCTCCAGCAGTACATTATAGTAAAACTTATGAACATTTGTTTATAGAATGAATATTTACTTTCATGTTTTGAAATAACATTGAGCACATTTTTGTATTTTAATATTTGTCTTGTTACCAGGCCAAGTTTCTAGACTTTAAAATTCAGAACATGGTGGGCAGTTGTGATGTGAAGTTTCCAATAAGGTTAGAAGGACTTGTTTTAACCCATAGCCAGTTCTCAAGGTAAAAACTGTTTTATCTTACTTCACACACACACACACACACGGAGCCATATTAAAAATTCAGTTCAGTTTCTGGTGTCATTGCATTTACAAAATCACCAATTGTTTATCAGTATAACATTTTAAAGCCTATTTGGGCTCAGGCTGTGATAATTATTTATAATTAACTTACATTGTTAGGGAATTTTTTAACAACACTCTTATTTGTAAAAACTAAATGTCAGTTTATTTGTTTTTCGTATAAAATTAGTTACCAAACCAAAATTATGGTTTGTATGTGTGTCTGTCATTTTTTTTTATATAATCTGTATGACAGTTTATTCTGCAACTTAGAATATAAGAGGTAGTTACAAATAATACAGGCATATACCTGCAGCACATCATAATGTAGTTTCAGTGCTTTCTTTACTGTAGATAAACAAATTACAAACATACAGAGTTTGAGAACATTATATTAAAATTATTTTGGTTCCTCATCATATTCTTACAGTTCATGTTGCCATGTACGGTCATGCTCTTTCTGATGACCGTGCACCTACACAATAGCCCTACAACATAGTTTCCATTGCGTAAGATTCCTTCATTAGGCTTTTATGTTCATAGCACACCCCCTCTTCCCTGCAGTTTCCACAGTCCATCTATTGTATTATAATGGCAGTTTCCTGTTTCAACAGTCTTATGGCATAGAAACTTATAGTCACTGTGTCTGGCAACTTGAACAGTATACCTTCATACAGAACTTCATAAATGCACATTTCATTCTCTAGTTACTTGAGGTATGTGACAATTGAAAAGGAGTTATGACTAGAAGTCTTATTTTAGTGAATCCATAACTTGTTAGTTGGCCTTGTTTCCAGGTGGAGATCCTTATTGATTATGTTGCATAGAAAATATGGATGCCTTTAACTACTGACAAGTATACATGAATTCTCACTTCTTGCAAGACTCCACATGTTGCTTACTAAATTTTGGTTCAGACTTGTTGTAGGTCTCTGGAATAAGATAATGACTAAATGTTCAAAGTTCACCAATATTCCTTTGTTTTCCAATGCTGTTAAGGAAAAGGGATATCCCCATTTTGGAAATTCTAATTCTTCGATCTGAACACATCTTTATGATCTGAGTGTATGAATATTTTGTGTTGGAAAGCACTGTTATATACTCTTTCATACCCTTCCCAAAAATGATCAATTTTTTGGTGGCATTACACTACCTAGGAAATGCCAAATAGTATCAAAATGTAATTCTGATACATTCCATTCCACTGCAACTTTATATCAGCTGTGGTTTTCTTATGACTTTCTGGTTTCCATATTCAAAATTGTTTTATGATAATGTACTCAACCCTCTGTATATGTATAGCGTTATTAGTTATCTTTTACTTATCACAGTAAACCAATATTTTTATAGAATTTGAAAAATATGTAGCATATATGCTACTAATTTACTCTTCAGAATTATTCAACAGAAAGCTGTATTAATATACTAGAAATAGATATGAGCCCAGTCTATCATTCAATTCACCACTTGTTGCTAAATTAAACCAGTTTATTTTTAGTATCTTAAACAGCTTCTGTGCTGAATAATTCAGAGCAATAAGTTAGTAACATAAGTATATAGGTTCACTGTGATGAGTAAAGGACAACTAATAACACCAAACACATAACCAATGTTTCCTCTAATTTTTTCCATCCATGTATGGAATGGTTATTTGGGCTTTAGGCCTATCGATTGCCAGAGTCATTAAAGCCGTCAACGTGTTGAGATTCCTCACCATTACTGAAGATGTGCTCGGTTGGAATAATGAAGTGCACGGCACTTGATTGGTGATTGTGTATAGTTAATTACTACAAGAATCTTAGTCTTATATTTTTATATTTTAATCAGGGATAATGATTAGGATTGTAATTCCCAAAAACCAGTATAACTCAGTGACAAATGGGTGTTCAGGAATGATTGATTGGGTTTCATATTTATTTTTACTAATATATTTATTATATTATGACCTTTAATGTAGCAACTGCACTACCCTGATATCAAGACCCTAAGTGAAGAATTAATCCTGTTAAATAATATAAACAAAACTTCATTTGAATATTGTATATTTTGATCTGAGAAGGATATTAAAAATGATATACTGTATTGTAGTATCGGGTGTTTTTGTTTTTGCAGTTATGAACCAGAACTGTTTCCTGGTCTTATCTATCGAATGGTGAAACCAAGAATTGTATTATTGATTTTTGTTTCTGGCAAAGTTGTTCTTACTGGTATGTTCATTTTTATATCACTTTATGAAAGTATTAATGTAACATGTGTTTTATATTACCAAGAAGTTAATAAAGCAAATGTATATTTATTGTATTGGTAGCTTTTTGTATGTAAATAGCAGTATAGTATCACTTGTAGGCTAAGATTTTGAGGGGAAAAAACAGAAGTCATTACAACTGAATAATAAAATAATCCTAAAAATTTCATCTACAGAAAACATTTTTGAAGGTACTGTTTTTTAAAATTATGTTACATTTACTATTTCTTATACTTCTCTCTGGTTCAAAACACATCTTGAAATATACCATTCTAAAGCAATTCATTGAAACCACAATTTAAACTGTATAACACTTCAAAGGGGTAAAAGGAGAAAAGTAGTTGCAAGATATTTTGGTAAAATTGGAAATTATATAGATAAGTATAAAAGCAACTTAACTGCACATTTTTTTCTCCACATTCATCTTAACTTGTCCACAGTAGCTCAAAATCTGAGGTTTGAAAAAAAAAAAAACAACTTTTCAGATATATCTTTTGTCTCCCAAAAAATGCTGCCCAATAAAATTTTTGTTCAGTACCAGAACTTATCAGTTGGGCTTGATGATGAGGGACAAAAGATTCTGCGAAATGCTATTTATATATACAATATAATAATTTCAAGTTACACTTTAAGTGCTGTAACTTGTAAAGTATTATACTGTATAATATAAATAGTGTTTCATAGAATCTGAAATACTGTTTTTTTACACCTCTGATTTTGAGCCACAATGGACAAATTAAGAATGTGTAGAAAAAAATTGTGGTTAACTTGTTTTTATAACAAAATCTAGTGTTTCCAGTTGTTAGTATTTAAATTTTTTTTTGAATATTCAAGTAATTAAAATATTGGCATTATGTTTATTTGTTGTTAAGCCCAAAGCTACACAATGGGCTCTCTGTGCCATGCCCAGTACAGGTATCAAAACTTGATTTGTAGTGTTTTAAGTTGTTGTTGTTTTTTCTTTCTTATAGCTGCCTTATGAGAATAATCTGTTAGTTGAATATAAGCAGTTAATGAGTGTTACATTTAATCAATTAGTAAATTCCAGTAATTGCTTATCTCTACACTCAAGCCAGTGTAGTTGAGTATTCTTGTGATACTATAGCAGAAGTAAAGTATAGGGTTAACATAGGGTTAACAGTTAACAATAATATCACTTATTGACATGTTTATTAATGGTGTACTTATCCATATGAATAATTTTAATGGGTTTTTTGTTTTGTTTTTCAGGAGCCAAGGTACGTTCTGAAATTTATGAAGCATTTGAAAATATCTACCCAATTTTAAAGGGATTTAGAAAGCAATAACATCTGTTTATGACATCTTTCAGTTTGAAAAGTTGATTCATAGACTGTTGTATATATTTTGATTCATGAAAAGGACAGCATGTTAAGTGATAAGTAGGTCTGTGGTGCATTCTGGGTTTCTTCGACCCATCAACTACTCTAAAAACTTGCCAATTCGTGTGCTTTAGTTTTGAGGACTTGCACAACATAGTTTGACAGAATATTTTATCCAGACATTCAGGTTCACCTTATATTTGGTCTTATAACAAAAATTTGTGCTGCAAACAAACCTTTTTTTTTTACTGTCCTACAACAAGCACTGAGAATGGCTTCTCATTGTCGTATGAGTACATTTATTTATTACTTATGTGAAAAATGTATAATGTTATACATTATAAGTATCGTGTAATACAGAATTGACAGAAAAATAAACACATACACATAGTAATAAAAATGAATTGGACATATTTTTGATACATTGGACGTTTTGTTTTTGTTAAAATTTAATGATGGCTGGCGGTCCAAAATGTAGCAGCAGTATATTTATATTTAAAGAGGTACTTATTACTACTTTACATGCTATTGTCTGCATCGTTAAATGTACAACTTTCAGTACCGTATTTTACTGCATTCTAAGCTGAAACGTAAGGTAAATGGTAAGCAACACCATGAACAGCTGCAAGTCCTTTTTTTTTATTGTTTCAGCTGTTGTGAAAAGTTTTTTTTATATTTTGTATTATCATAGAGTAAGAATGACTATTGACTAATAAAGTGTTTGATATACATGTATTTGTTAACATACTTTTAAGGTTTGACTTTTAAACAGATAGAAACTTTCCCTTCCATAAGTAGAGTTAAGAATTAAACAATACTAATGAGAACCCTGTGCATACAATTAAGCAAGGTAATATTTAAAATTCATAGGAACTTGTTAGTTTTATTGTGTTGGTTACACTGGTAGATTTGTTCCCTATGTCAAAACTTGTATTGTAATATAGTTTCTCTCAATTCAGTGAAATCACAGGCATTGCTCATGAAGTGATGCTCATTGTTCATTTATAATTTTTATTTCATGGATACCTATGAAGAATAAATTTTTGTTCTTATTAAATTTTGCATTTCCTAGTCAACTGACTATAACATTAATAGCCTATGTTTATTATCCTAACCTGTCGTTTTCTAATTCTCATTAATAAAATCAGCTGTCTGGTAAACATCAAAATTGGACATGCCCTCCTCCCCTTTTTGTTATTAGGAAGTAGTTCTGTTTATTATGCTTAAAAACAAAACAAGACTATTATAAAGTTGTACCCTTAAAGACAACAAGTTGTGAACTAATTGTGATAGAAGCAATAGGTTCAAAAACAAATCTATTAGTTAATCTTTTACTTACACGTGATTACCTGTGGAAATAATATTGCCTGGATGTTAGAAAGTAAAAATCTTGGATTTGAGTGGTAGTTCAACAGTTAAAAGTCTAAAGAAAAAAAGATTTTTCTACAGACTGTTAACTTACTTTATAATTGTACATTGTCTCAAGTGATAAAGCAGTTACTGTACAACTCAGCGAAAATATCTGAATAAAATATAATGCCAGTTTTGTAAAAGCTGTAGATGTTTTCCTTATGATTTGCTGTTTGCATTCGTTTAACAATTGAGAGTATATCTGAATAATGAACCATTTTGCAGCATACCCTAGGAAATGAGAATTACAGATAAGTACACATCAATTTATCTGTAATAAAGTTCTATACAGATTATATATTAATATATGTGTATCCTTTATTCAAAACAGGGCTGCAGATGTGCTTTAGTTAGTTTAACAAGTTTCATCCTTCCCTGGTGGTTTGAAGGTGATATTTTGAACTGCTAATGTAAATATTCATCAACACTTTAAGAAACTTTGCAATAAAACTCTGTTTGTAATTTCCAGCAGATGTAAACATTTACGATGTTAGTAGTGAAATGATAAGTTATCAAAAGGATTGTGAAAACACTTAACTTGCAAAATAGATGTAATTTGTTTGACCTAAACTAATTACACACACACTTCAGAAAGATACAGTATACTACAAACACATGTAACAGAAAAAATCATTTGTCTCCAGAGAATAAAAAATTGTAAAACTTAAAATATTTCTCAATAGTTTTTTTTTTCTTAGTGAAAAGCTATCTACATTTTGCTATGGGCAATCGAACCCCAGATTTTAGCCTTGTAAGTCCATAAACTTTCGCCTGACTTTCTTAGTAGAAACTGTAAACAAGATATTTTTGAAGTCATTCAAGAATACATTTTGATGGCTAGTAACAACTGTAAATGATTCGGGTAATTATCGCAAGAGAAATATTTATAGCATGTCATAGAAAAGTAGTGTAATAGTCCATACAGGTAAGTGGAAGAACAATAGATGAAATTATTGAATGAGATTAAGGCTAAGAATCAGAAACGTTTGTGGGGTAAGACAATAGTTACGTTGCAGCTGTGTAAGTTATTGAAAAAATAATAAATAGTGCCTATTCAAAGTTAAGTAGGAATTTTTTACAGCATTGTAAGTCAACGAACCCCAAATTTTAGCGTTTTAAGTCCGAAAACTTACTGTTGACCAACCGGGGACAATAGCTGACCAACATTTATTGTTGTTTATATTAAGTTAAACGTCATGAACATTTTGAAATCATTCTTACGGTGCAAATCAAGATATAAATGGAATGACCCTAAGCAGAAGTTGCTTTGCTTTGGGAAGACTTTTCATCAACACACACAAAAGTTCAGTTGTGTTTTTTCAAAGAAAGATGATAAATCCTGAACTAAAACATGGCAGTTTGTGTAAGATCAACTCCCGATTTTAGGGTTAAATCAAAGGCTGAAACAGCATAGAATAATTGGCATCTATCTAAACGATACACGTCTATCATTATCAAGGGTTCGTATAAATATATGTCTGTGTTTATAAACGTCTTACTTTTTTATTGAAACGGTAATCATATTGCGTAGAAACTCGCACAAAAATGTCATGAGTGGTAATTGGGGGGGGGGACATGTTTCGATAAAGAAAAGTAAATAAAATCTGAGTTTAAAAATTATTAAAAGGAAAAATAGTTTAGGCCATTGAAAATGTGTAATATTCGAAGGCACCGAATGCATAAAGCTAACCCTTGAGGTTTCTAAATGGTAGACCCATGCAGACCAGTACGTAGAATATTTGAAAGGGGGGTTCTAAATTGCGAGATCAAAAGGCAACATATAGCGCAAAGCATTTCTAATGCTACGGGTCTGGAGGGCATGCGGTTGTTTCAAGCCAAAAAGAAATTAACGCTTCATCAGAAAAATGTAGACTTTGTAGAAAATGTTAAGTACCATAAGCAACTGCGCTATAACTATATACGTATGATATATTTACATCACAAAAATAGGGGGCTCAGCCGACTTACGATATTGAAGATGACGTTCATCTGGGAATCCTCCGACATGCTACTGTTTGTAAGTAGCTCGATTATATTGAACTGAATACGGTGTCATTATTTAGATGATTTGGGAGCAGCTGCAGCACAATGCTTTTGCGCTACATGATGTAGGGGGCGTTTATTCTAATACCTTTAACTTCTTGTACCCTTAAAAGGCGCAAAGACCTACTTATGCAAATTTCTCACCTTGCATTTCAAACCTAGGTTTGTGTAACATCCTCTGCTATGGTTGGAAGTTGATCTTCTGTGGCACAATTCCATGTGCTTGAAGGAGGTACTTTAATACTTACTGTTATGTATCTGCTCGTTTGTTAATTTCCGGTATAAATTCTTTCCGAGGAACTTCAGCGATACAAGTCCTTTCTTAATTAAAACTAGTTTATTCTTTCTTGATACAACTTTTTTTAATATACAGAATTTCCACAGTCACTTTAAACTTAACAACCTTTATTTGCCGGGCCTATATACTAAAAAAGAGGGCACCTGGCAAACACTCGGACATTCGTGGGGTTCGATAATTCATGGTCCTTTTAGAAACTCCAGTGCGCATGCTCCCAGCGTCGCGTGACTTCCGCTGTTGAAACATTACCTATAACTATTGTTCCAGAACAGCGACTTTTGCTAAGTTTTGTTTTAAAATGTTTCATTTGTTACCGTCTACACTTCTGTCATTAGTATTTTGAGTGTATGATGCATATTAATAAAATAATAAACTTTCCGAAGGACATAACTTTGAAGGTGACATTGAACAACCTCAATGATTTTGTCACGGCGTTGGCCCACAACACCTGATTCCATACCACTGACAAATATCATTCTATACCTCTCCATTTCTGAATTAGTTGTATGCCAATATACTTCTGAATCAAATAGGGAGCTCTATATTGCAGTTGCAGTTATTAAGAAATAAGGTCCAAACATAATTGCGATTCACAACATTAGCTCTTGAATTTATATTTTCTTTAAACATATTGAAAATTATTTAAATGACTCGATATTACATATTGCCTAAGTAATATCTAAACGCTATCACTTCTTCTCGGCCTCTGTGTTAAACATTTAAAAGCACTGCTTCAATGCATTTTTCATAAATTTTACTACAGGATAAAAAACTCAAAGCTGACCACTTACGCTACACACTTTTCATTTTCATCATTTTGCAAATGTTACATAACATTTTTGGTAGCTCCACTCTATTTTCGCCTTTATGATTTTTTTATAGTCATTCATAAAACTAGTAAATAACTACAACAATCAGCAGATGCATACATCGAATTTATGATAGTACAGAGCTGTAAGCTATATTTTTTATATTTTAATTTAGATGTTTGTTTACTAGAGGGAGATAATCATGATGAAGACCTAATGAACCAGATATCCAGGATGCTTAATTAATAAGTTTATCATTCCAATGTCTGTTAATGAGTTAGATAGTGAGTTATTGCGTCTTTTGATTTGCTATTCAATTAGTCAATGAGTTAGTTAACTGTTTGTTATTTAATTCATTAACGAAAAAATTCTGCAAGTAAATTTATTTGTGAGTTAGGCATACATTAGTAATGGAGTTTCTGTTTAAATGTTGTTTGTGAAGTTAGGTTTACAAGTGAACATAGCCAACGTTATTGGAAAAATAAAAAAATAGCTTTCTGTGGACTGGATTCTACATTATTGTTAAGAACCCTCTTAACGATAAAACACATTTTAACAATTGTGTCAGAAGTGGGATTATTTTGATAAAAAAAATAGAACTTTGACTAAACTTCAAGATCACAACAACGCAGATACGAAGCGATAGCGAAACTTTGCTGTAGTGATTACATGATTAAAAGAAGGTCAAAAAGTAAAATTAATAGAAAATTAAAATAATATCAAGGGGCAAAAGACTGTAATTTAAAGTGGAGTTAAAAGAAAGAGATGTAACACTTAAAGAACATATGAGACTAATAATAAATATCATTGAAGACAAGATCGATGAAGCTAATTGAAATGCACAGAATGATTGTAACAAGATTTAAGAAGTACAGAAAGGCTATAATGAAAAAATTTAACTAAAGAAAAATTAGAACAGCAAGATCAGTGAGATAGAAAACAACTTCAATGAGAGAATAAAACTTTTAGAAAAGGAATTAATAAATGCAAAGATCCAATCTGCCACACCTCTTTCTTCATCTGATCAAGAAGTAAAACACCATTTGCTATAAAACATGGACATGGGGAAAATATTTGGTCTACACCTGTTACCATTCTGGCTGTGCCATCTGTGAGTTGACTACAGAAACTTTCTAAGCTACTCTGGTCATATTATTACCAAGTTCAGCTCCTGAATTTAGCTGGCCAGTTCAACAATATCGCCCAACAGACTATGATAGAAAGGTAACATGGAAGGCATATCAGGCTCAGTTCGAGATAATTTCGAAAGTGAAAGGCCATAATGGTAAAAACAAACTATTCATTTTGCTACATATTTAAATAGATCCACTTTAATGACATTAAGCAACATTTCAGAATTAGTATTTGCCTCATTCAGCAGTTTCAGAGTAACACACTGGAAGAAAGCATCAGAAGCAAAGTATGGAGGAATGAATATGTCTTAGCCAAACTTACAGAAGATTAGAAAAGGCTTGCTCACTTATCTCACCCAGATGCTTCACACAAAATGATGTATTCATTGGCATGTGGTCATGTTATAAATTTCGTAACAGATGAGGATATGTAAATTAGGCTGAAACCAAATAGGTGTACATCTTTAAAGTAAACTCTCCCTGTTGGTGATGGAAATAGAATCCATTAAAGTCGCAGATAATGGAGTGTACTCTCTTTGAACTACTTTGGAAAGTCATGCCCATCTATTTGAATGACATTATACACTTGAGAAGACCTTTGGTGATGCTTATGATGGACTTAGGAAAAGTCAAGATCTGTTGAGGAAAGAGAATCTTAAGCTGAATCTCAAGAAATGTGAATTATTCTGGGACACATAGTTAGTAGATAGGGCCCCATATAAGAATAAATCTGTTCAGTATTGGTCAACATTAAAAAACTTGTGTGAAGTAAGAGGCTTACCATCATCATTCTGTAAATTCTTCTCTGGAATAACTCATCCTCTATACATAGTACATGAGAAACTAAATATGCTTTGTTGGACTAT